GCCCGGTCTCAGACACACTTTCTCAGAGGTTGTGTCATTGTGTGTGAGAACCTTTCTTGCAAAAGAGCCCCCATCAGTGTTATGTTTGAAGTTGATAAATGATGTTTTTGTATGAAGATGCCATAGCTTTTCAGATAACTTCCCATGTTTACCTCCTAGCTTAGGACTGGTATGCCTTCTCCATGCTGGTTTGTGGCTGTTGTTACAGCTTCCAGATGGTTGGCATTTAAGCCTTTTGCTTTGCTTCAGAGGGAGCTGAAATTTTTGCTTGAGAACAGTGTACAGCTGTGGTGCTTTGTTAGTTCTCGGGGATGACTTTGGTCTGGGGGTTGCAATCCTGTGAATCTTGCTGGCATCTCCTCTGTTGTCTGCCTGCTGGACCTCTTACCCTTGTGAGTCCAGTTTCTCTACTTCATTGGATACGTTCCTCTATTCAAAGTACCTCCTGGATGTTAGAATGTGTAATGTCTTCATCTCCTGGACCCTACAGGAGAGGGGGATGGAAAAAGACAGTCCCTCCCTTCCCTGAACATCACCAGGAGTTTGTTTTCAGCATACTTGGTTATTAGTGGGTCCTCCCCTAATCCTAGCATTGAGCTAGCCACAAAACAGGTCCTTTAAGTGCATGATGACTCCGAAATTCCCTTCCTTTGTTTGCATTTCAGTAATGCAATTAGAATGATGGCCTTTGAACAACTGCTTAAGGGATAGACTTCTCTAAAGACAATTTTGATTGTTTTTCTTCCTTTTTCTTTCTCTTTTCCCCTTCTTTCCTTCTTTTTATTCCTTCTTTCTTTTCTTCCTTCCTTCTTTCCTTCTGTTCTTACATCCTTCCATCCCCGTCCTTCCTTTTTATATTCTCCTTTGCTTTTTTCCTCATTCTTCTAATACATATATTAATAATATATATATATTATATATATAATAGTATATCTATCCCATCCACCCCTTCACTTTCTCATCTTCTTGCTCACCAACATCTCCTGTTAAGTGAGATATATCAAAGTCTCTGCAGAGCAGAGGTCTTCTGAGACCCTTGGGACCTCGTACCTGAGACACCCATCCTTGAGAAGGTGGGGAGAATCACCACAGTCACCAGTACTAGAGAGTGGTGCGCAGAGAGTTCATTTTCACATTGGAGAAGCCTCTCTGTTGAAGCTGAGACCAGTAACTACTGAAAGGGCTCCCCCACAAAGCCTTCCTTATCGCGGTGCATTGCCTGTGTCAAGGTGACTCACGCAGAGCATCTGTTCCTTGCTCATTGTAAATGCTACCCACTCCTGCCAGAGTGGCCTTTTTCCGTACTCTGTTCTGTTACCTTCTGTCTCAAAAGGCTTTATCACCCTTTCCACTCAGGCCACAGGTTCTTATTTATCAAGCCCTAGGCCCACAACTCACTTTTTCTTTTTTCTTTTTTTAATTTTATTGGTACATTTTCGGTATACAATATAATGGCATTCATCATTGGAAATTTGCACCTTTACATAATCTCTCTTGGTTCTTATTTTTT